AGGTGTGGACCTACACCACTCGTCAGCAGCCATGCTGTAGTGGCGACCCACATACAAAATAGAGGAAAATTGGAACATATGTTAGCTCAGGACTAATCTTTCTCAAGCAAAAAAAGAGGAAGATTGGCAACAGATGTTAGCTCAGGGAGAATCTTCCTCAACAACAACAAAAAAACAAACAAACAAAAATTAATAAGCTCTTCTTCAACAGTTGGAAATTTTACATCCTTTCTTTTTTCTCCTTAAATTTATATTTCCACTCCATTTCTTCCATAGAATTTTATCTTTCAATGCTTGAAAATCTTTTATAGGCCACTCTATCATATAATAACAACAAATTTTAAAAATATTCTGTGACCATAAGTTTATAAGGTTCAAAAGTTCCCTCAGGATTGTGTTTTCATTATTCTAACTATTTTTAGTACACAATTATTCAAAACAGCATGTCTATATTACCTTTTTTTTTTTTTTTTTGGTGAGGAAGATTAGCCCTGAGCTAACATCTGTTGCCAATCCTTCCTTTTTTGCTGAGGAAGATGGGCGCTGGGCTAACATCCGTGCCCATCTTCCTCTACTTTATACGTGGGATGCCTGCCACAGCATGGCTTGATAAATGGTGCATAGGTCCATGCCTGGGGTTCCGAACCTGCAAACCCCAGGCTGCTGAAGCGGAGCGCGCGAACCACTATGCCACCAGGCCGGCCCTTATATTGCCATTTTTGATACTTATTAAATATAAAAAGTAAAGTTTATTGTAAATGTATATATTAATGATATAGCTTGGTGGGGAGCACTTATAAATTTTTCATTGAAGGAACTGTGGAGTTGTCCCTTAGTTCCAGGCTCTGGAATGGGCATAAAATAAATGCCTTTCTTTTGTAAAATGAAAGAATGGAGACTTTACAAGGACAAACTCTAGTTGGGACAGGCAGCCTCTTGGGCAGATGCATTTTAGGAAAGCATATAGATGGAAGGCAAGGATCTGGAAATTGATTTGCTTAAAACTATCCACACTTGCATGCCCCTTGGAAAGTCTCCACGTACTATTATTGGTACTTTAGTGCTCCGGGTTTAAGACTATCAAGCCTCTCTGCTCATCAGTAGCTGACACATGGTACCTACTATGTACCAAGCACATCAACTCTGTGAAGGGGCTGCTATTCTTTT